AAGAAGCAGAACATTTTTAATTAACTTTTTAAATTTTTGTTACAGATATGGGAAAAAATGTTATAAAAAACTATAGGCTGTGGAAAAGTGATTTATTAAAATGTATTTTTATCTACGTGTTCAAACGCTTCCAATAAGTAATTTTTTTTTTTAAATAATGTTTATAAATACAACACAAATCTTCATTACATGATTTTTCTTATAGCAATATGTACTTATATAACAAATATAACAATATATATTATATGATAATAACTAGCAAAAAGCTTAACAAAACTTAGAAAACAAAAGTCACGAATGGCGGCCTCTAAGATATTTTTCTCTAAATTATTTTCTTACTATATATTTCCTAATTTACTATAATTTTCCTAATATATTTCCTAATTTTGGACAATGCATTCTTACTCTGTTATTTCTCATACTTAAATTTAAATGATATCTCTTTATTCTTTAAATAATATCTATTTATCTTCTCTAAATTCCTAAATTTTATTCTTTTGCGGATTATACTAATGTTTTCTTTTCTGGTAATTATTTCATTTTTTTCTTTCTACTGTTAAAAATGAACTAATAAATTTCAACGGCTATTTTAAAGCTAAAAAACTTTCCTTTAATTATTATAAAACAAAATATATTTTGTTCATAAAACCTTCAAAACTTGATATCTAACCCCTTAATCTTCCAGATTTAATTATAAACTACAATAAAATAAAAAAGTCCATTCAATGATAATTTTAGGTATATTATTTAATAAACACCTAAATTGAAAAAAGTCATATTTAATTAATAGAAAACAAAATCTTTTAAACTCTGGGAATCATGTTCAAAACGAGGCATCTTTTGAATGATATGTGGTTAAAAAGCCAATATTTTAAATTTATCCATAGCTATATTGGTTATTGCAATATAGCTTGGACAAGTAACCACTCATCTTCATTAAAAAATAATTTTAGCAAACAAAAATAAGCGAGTAATTTTTAATTCAGATAAATATGCATACGCCAAGCTTTTACTAGAAAAAAATAATACTTTAAGTATGTACAAACTAAACATTTATCAAAGTTTATTATTTATGTTTAAACTTTATAAGAACATGCTTCTACCATATTCATCCTGAATAAATAGGTGCAGTGTTTGAAGTTCTTGATCAGAACATTAAGCACTGAGGTTCGATCTCTATCCCAACAAGCAACATTGGAAGGAGGCTTAAACTTTCTAGTTAAATGTTTTTCCGAGGTGATTTGTGATATGATCGTAAGGACTTCTGGGAGCACCTTAATAACCACATACACACCGAAAAATTATAAAGTAAAATCTTTAACTAAAATTAAATCATTTTAAAAAACGTGAAACTTTTAATAAATCTAACCAATTTTGCTATTATTAAATATCTAATTTCGCAATCAAAGGAGTAAGATAATAAGAGTTATTGTTTTCTATTTGCTCATGTAAGAATTTAAAAAATCTTTTTTATTTTTACAAGAACATTGTATGTTTGTTATACATTGACGAAATATATATATTGAACATATTTAGCAGTCGTGGTGCACTGGCTTCAGAAACAAAGGATCCAACCACCTCTGGGCGACATCGGTTAGGAAGGAGGCGTGAATTTTCAACTATAAGTTCAACCGCGGTGCTCTTTGATAAGACCGTAAGGACTCCTGGGATACCTAAATAAAATTGAAAAAAAAATTATCCCCCCTCCCTCCACACACATACACACATAAACACACCCGTTTATTAGATCTTGAAACATTGAGTATTGAATTCTGAACCAGAAAGGTCACGCCTCCTTCCTTACCAAAGATGTAAATATAATCATATCCGACTTTGAACCACAAACTTTTATTTAGGGTTTATCAATCAACAAAAATTTTAAAATCAAGTTTATCAATATCTGGTTCATGCAATTGTTGCATGAATTAACAGATTTTGTTAATTCATCCAATTGTCACATGAATCAACAATTGTTATAAAAGTTCAAAAATGCTCAAGTTATGGTATATTACTTTTACGTAATTTCAATAATTATTGAAAAATAGAATGTATAAAAAACATATAAAATGGTACTTATAAACATTAACAAAAATTTTTTATAAGCAATCTTTACACATAAAAATATAAACGACATGTTTATGAGCATGTGTATATGCTTCCTATATTTCTGCAGCTGACATCTCTTTTCCACTGATTACAATTTTTATTATATTATTCAAGATAAATGTAAAAAAAGCCTAATAATTGACCTGAATATTCTGTAAAATAATAATAAAATACTTTGCTTAGTATATCATTAACTATTAACGTTGTTGAACCAGGAAAGGGTTGAAGCAAATGATATTGAGCTCAAATGATGTCCACCCTTAATATGCAAAGCAAATAACAGGGTTATTAACAAATAAGACAATTTTTTGAAAAAGTTAAAATCATAGTTGCTAATATAGTTACAATAAAAATAATTGCAATTATTATATACAATAAAATAATATTATATACAATAAAACATTATTATATACAATAAAATATTATTATATACAATAAAACTTTTATTGCAACTATTATAGTTACAAATAAAAATTCAACAAAATATCAGAAAAATGTTTTTCACGGAGGGTTTTCTAAAATATTTATAACTCACAAAACTTAAAATAATACTATCTATAGTTACCTAAATATAAGATAAAATTTTACCCTTTACTTAAAAAATAACTTTCCAGAATTTCCGGAAAATTTCATTACTAATGAAAACACAAAAAACGTGGAATGTGATTAAGCAGATAATTGGTAAAAAAATGTACAAATATTAATTTGCTCAAAAACTTTTACAAAAATGATTTATAAAAAAAAAATCACAATTGAAGACCTAAACAATTTTTTCCTCGATATATATGTTCTAAGTTGGCTGATAAAACTCCACAAAACACCATAAATTTGCTAAAAATTTGTAAGAAGTTAGTTAAAACGTAAGTGAAATGCGAATTGCTTTCAATAGAAAATAATAAATGAGCAGGTATTGATAAAGTTAGCGTGGATGTAGTTAAAGCAGCATTCGATATTGTTAAAACCTTGCCAGTGGGCACGGGATCTAAAAAACATTCTAAAATCTTTAAAAAGACGTCTTTTTACAGTCCCTTGCCCACTGGGTCGTTGTTTCACATTTTTAACCTTTCCTTAATTCGGCATTGCGTCTGAGAAATTAAAAATTTTTAAAATCATAATTTCATGTTAAATGTATTAATAAAAATTTTTATTAATAAATAAAACCATTTCTAAATAATGAATTTTTAAAAAAATATGTTTTCTTTTCTTTTAATTAAAGTGACAAAACAAATCAAAACAAAACAAAATACGGCTAGATAAACAATTTGGTGTGAATAAAATGTCTTTTGTATTATGATAAATTGCAATCAAGATCACCAAGTAACAGTTTGCGAAGAAAAAGCTGCTAAGTTGCTGCCTGATGACGATATAGCAGGAGAAGAGAATCCCAAACTCATTCTTGTTAGCTTTTCAAGCAGTTAACTTTTTCATTAGCAGTTTTTGCTATTGTTATATAGGAGACTAGACTATTTTTTAGCTTTAATAATAATCTTGACTAATACTTCAAGTAGTGAGCTTTTTATTTATTTATATCTAAAAAATTAAAACAAACTCTTAACTTATAAATATACAATTCAGTTAAGTGGTATGTATGATGTCGTAAGGTTTAAAGCAAAGAAAAATAGTGAAGCTATTGTATTAAAACATTAACTCACTTTAAAAAAAGGTTGCTAAAACGGATGTCGAGGAGGCAGTGTAGCTATCATTATTACTGATGTATTTATCTCTCATGAGGTTAATTAGTTCTATTTAACCTTTCTCAAACAAGTTTTGGTATCTATAAAATTGTGAATAAATACAATACTTATCTAGGTTATACATAGACCAAAATGATGCTAATTTAATATAATATATCGCTCAATCTTTCAAACTAGCTCAAAGCTTAATTAGGAAGCCATATGATGGCTGTTTTATTATCGGTAATTTTAACATATCACATTTCCTACGTCCAGGCACCCTAACAAAACAAATAACAAGTCAAACATATGATTGCTCAAACCATATGTTCGACTTGTTATTTCCCTACTACAGTGATTTTATTTTAAATATGTTTCCTAATGCTATATTAGGTAATAATACTGAGGGCCACTTTAGTATCACTTAAGGAATTTCTGTTTTAAACCGTTGTACGAAAATGAATCTTAGTTTTTTATTTACAGCAAAGGTGATTACGATTTAATATGAAACTTTATTGCATCAATCAACAGGAATGTTTTATTTCTGCATAAAACCAACAATTGTTCAATTTATTAATTTTTAACAATCGTATTATTTGCGAATATTTTATCCTCAAGGTTAATAAAATAAAGAAACAGTATGATTCTTGGGTTACTCAACATATTAAAAACCTAATTCAAGCAAACAAATTTGCTTGGTAGCTCAACTAAATGAATGCTTTGTATATCAACTGCTCAAAAAAATGGAAGAATAATAAACTTAAAATAAACTGCTATCTTTTTATTCGTTCTGTAAAAGCTGAAATATTAAAAGTAAAAAGAGTACATAAAAAAGAAAAAACATTAACGTCCTTCTGAATAATTTCCATCGTTAAAAAAGTGGTACTAGCCTGAATGAACTTATAATAACAACTTGGGTTTTTTTATCTCAGATATTATTAACTTAACAATCTAAACCCCGATAAGTATGAACTGTTAACTGCAGAAAGGGAACAAGTCCACAAAATTCAAAAATTTACTTTTTAACATAAATCAATTATAAATGGGTAGACACCAGTGGCGGATTGAGATTTAGTGTCGCGGGGGGGGGGGGGCAAGGCATCAGTTTAAGGCATCAGTTTAAATTTTGCGTTTACTGCAGAAAGGAAACAGTCCGGGACTTGTTCCTTTTCTGGGGTCAACATAAATAACATAAATTAATAACATTTTGATTGTGACTTACAAATTTCTTTTTTTAAAAATGAGTTGTTCAGATGAAGATGAAAATCTTTTAAAGAGAAGAAAAAAAGAAGTTGTTAATTCAGAAAGATATAAAAGGAATGTAATTAAGAAGGCTAAAGTGTCAGGAAAAGAAGATATAAACATGGTTGGAAAAACAATACCAGATAAGAAACCAGCATCTAATGTTTGCAGGTAAGCTTTTATAAATTTATTTTTGTTAATTGTTATAATATTTCAGTAATGTTCATCTAGAAAGCTTTTTTAAAAATGAATCGGTTAATGAAAATGCACAACACTTTTAGGTTTTTGACCGTTGTGTTTGATTATGTGTCATAAAAGTTTGTATTTATGACTTTTGAACAAAGCTAGGCTACCTTAGAATTAATTACAACTACATAAATGAAGCATGTAACCAATTAGTAGTCTAATTTCCTAAATAATTAGAAAATGCTTAGGGTTTTTGGTAAAAATCTAGCTTATGTGTTTTCAAACATAGATATTAAATCATAGATAGACCTAACCTTTTTTTTTTTATTTCAGTTGCAAGGAAAGCTGTTTTAAAATTTACACAGCAGATGACATGGTGGAAATATTTACCAAGCTACATGATATGGAAACCAAAACTCAACAAGGCATCTACTTGCAGTCACTAATGAAGATTTCCCCAGTTATATGTCAAAGATCTAGACCAGGTTCTGCTTCTGCAAAACCAAAATCTTCCGTAGTTACCATATTATGTACCATATTATGCACAATGGGGTTCGTACTATGATATGTAAAAATTGATTTATGAAATCATACAAATGTACTTCTAAATAGTGTTACAGGCTCTCACATCTGTTAAGCAAAACTACAGTAGATAACAGCTAAGCAAAACTACAGTAGATAAAATAGGCAGAAATGTTTCTGTTAATGCCATTCCTCATACTGTAATCAATCGTTTGAGAGCTCATATTGAACAATATCCTATAGAAACTCAACACTATACTGGAAGAAATAAAAAATACTTACCAGCTAATTTGGACGTAAAAACCATGTATGAGATGTTTATAAACAAACAGAAATATTTTAATAATAAAAAAAACTTTTATTAAAGTGTGAAAAGACTGTCATATAAAATTTTAGAAAATAAAAAGTCCTTTTCTTAATGACAATCAGAAAATACACGCAATAACAGAGCTTATGGTTCACAATGAGAAAAGACACACAATAGCAGAGCTTATGGTCCACAATGGAAGGGCTAAAAAGTTTTACAAAAAAGATACCACAGAGAAAAGACCCTTGAATGTTGGATTATGTGTAGATTACATGTCTAATGTGGCATTACTGTGCATACCAGTACAAGATACTTATTATTTCAGGAAACTCACAATAAACGTCTTTGGAATTCATGACATTGCTTCCCTAAAAAATGACTGTTTTTATTTATCATTAAGGCGAAGGAGGTAAAGGTTCAAACGAAGTATGCTCTATGCTTATGTAGTACGTAAAAAACACGATGGCTCTATGTAAAGAGACTTGAAAAAATAAATTTAGTGTATCCTGTTAGGGTACATTCTTTTATGTCTATACTAAGATTCATTTTATATATACTCTTATGGGAAAATCTACTATAATCTAACAAAATATCGTTTTCAATCCTAAAATATTGTGATATGTCAGTTTCTTCTGATGAAACTATGGAGATTAAGTGGAGTATGCATATTGCTGGATTGATTAGTGACATTTTTCGCTTACAAAACATTATAGGAGACTTTGAACAACCAACTAATAAAGCCTATTCAGTTGTATTATCCATCAACCATTTAAAAATTGCGGATAGAATGAAAACTTTGGTTTATATTCCGAATGAAAAGCTCCGATTTTGGAATGAAATAACGTTATGGCCTGTAACTACTGTCCATTCAAGAAGATCAAACAACTGTACTGTGCATTTTAATATGATAATAAAACAATAAATTATTTAATTAGTTTTGCCTAAATAAAGCACTTTTTAAGATTTTAGTAGGTCTTTTTTTACTTTTAAATCTCATTTACTGCGAAAAGAGATCATGTCTATGTTTAAAAATATGTCCAACATTCATAACAAAGTACATTAAAAAATTATGCATATATATCTTTAAGAACCCTACTAACTGTTAAATAACTAGCAAAAAATGAAAACAATAAGTTTGAAAATAAAGGATTGAAACAGTTTTTGTCTGTAAAATTAGGATTTATGGACTTGTTGCCTTTCACCGGTTAGCGATTCATATAATTTTTTTCAATTTCAAAGTTCTTTCATAAATTCTTTAATTCTGGAATAGTACTCACTCTCTAGAAATTAGCAAACTTTAGATACTTTAAGATAAATTACTCGTTGAAAACTATTTACGATACTATTTACGATAACAAAATGCTCTCTGCAAATCAACATGGTTTTCTTAGGCATAATTCTACAAGATGAAACAATGCCTAATTCTTAGGCATTGTTTCGTCTTGTATAACATTTTACCCGTTTATTGATGTAATCTTGATTTTGCCAAAGTGTTGATTCTTTACCTTAAAACAGATTTATGTTAAAATTAGGATAATTTGGAATAAATGGGAAAAAAAATAAAAACGTTTAATAAAATAATCTCTAAGAAACTCTACTAAAATGCGCAATTTAGTAGTCATTATTTCATGTAACGCCAAGTGAAGCACACATTTTTAAACAATTGTCTCAAAGTCCTTACAAATTCTTGGTATGCAAAAAGACATTCACTTCCATTAATGAAAATATAAATCTCAAGTTATATAAAATGTTTATTATACTGCCCCATAAATATACAGCGTCTATTTGGGCTTCTTATTTAAAAACTGATAAAATCTTGGTTGAATCTATTCAACGCAAAGCAACAAAATGAGCTTCCAGCTTGAGAAATCTTTAACACTGCGAAAGACTAAGAAGTTTGAATTTACCATCATTTATTAAGTGTTTCAACAAAATAACAACAAAATAACAACAGCTCAATTAAATTTAAAAGATGTTGTATACCAATATGCAGTTATAAAGACAAGAAAAAAACTTTAATTAGATTTTCTATATCATTAATAGCTACTAATTCATTTTTTACATCATCTTCTACTTACTAGACTTGCATTCTGGTTTCTATTTAATTAAGTCAAAATTGTATTAAAAAATAAGTTTTTCGTTTTCATTTACAATTTTAGTCAAAAAAAGGGAAGAAAGAGGAGGAGCAGAAAAGTAATTTAAGGGCCCAGATCAAAATTTTGCGGTAAGACCTACATTTTGTTGTTACGCTACTGATACATACATACTTTTTTTTTTCTTTTCTGTTTTCATTTAAATATAATACATTTATTGTTTATATTTATACAATGATAAAATGTATGGAAATGAATATATCGATAAAAATAAGGAATAAAGAATACGGAAACTCAAAAAAGACCGCGATGTCTTGTCGCAGAGAACCATTTGGGTTTGAACTTTTAATATTAAACTTTTTAAAATTATTTTGTATTTGGTTACTTATGGTTCGGTGTTTGTAATAATCTAATGGTTGAGTTTAGTTTATTGATTATCTTGTTTAGTTATTTTTTTTCTTTGACTATATATCCATTTCCATATTTTACTTTACTTTTTATTCATTTATTTCGTATTACAGAAAATTTCATTTTTCGGTCATAATACCTTCGGTTTTTTTTGTTTTCTTTACTTTTTCTTCTTGCATATAACACACTTATGTATACAGTTGTTCTATTTTGTGGGTAAACATTTTCAATATCGCAAATTGATTCTCATATAAATAAAATTATTTGTCTACTTGAATTGATTTGGTTTGTTGTAAAAGTTCCTCTTATCTTTAATTTTGTTTTTCGACTTAGTCATATGTACAGGTCGCATATACTCACATATACATGCATATGCATACTCATACATTCAAAGATACAGGTACATATACGCATATACATAGGTACTCGAGTTCACATAGACATGTAGGTACGTACATACAAGCATATACTATAAAATGTAATATTTTTTTTTCTTTTTAATACTATATTATTTTTCGTTTTACAACTGAACTATAAGTTAAAAAATCGTATTATAATAATAAATATTAACTATGATATATGCTTTTATGAGAAAACAAAAAAATCTACAACAAAAAAAATATAGAACTGAATGATTTATGATATATATATATATATATATATATATATATATATATATATATATATATATATATATATATATATTTATATATATATATATATATATATATATATATATATATATATATATATATATATATATATATATATATATATATATATATAAACTCAGGGTGTGGGTAGAAAAATTATTTAATTTTCATTAGTTAAAAATATATTTTATTCCAAATAAAGTCTCCTCGAAATAAACACAAGATTTACCAAAATTAGTATGCGAAAACTGTAGTTGAATAAAATTATCATTTCGTAGATGGTACTTGTTTTTTTCTTTTAGTGTGTACAGGTTATGAAAGGAAGAAGGGGAAACGTTGGTTTTACATTTATACATAAAACATAAAACATTATAAACGTTAAGCTGATATATATTTAAAATATTCATTTCAAGTAAGAGAGGCATGGCATGAGTAAAACGATCTTTAAAGTTTATAAGATTTACAATTTGTTTCTGTTGAAGATGAAGAGGTTTTAGTATACTTTTATTGACACTACCCCATATAACATTAACGTAGTTAATATAGCAATGAATAAATAAATAAAATAATTAAATTAAATATGTTTATTTAAGAAACTTCTTAACTTCTTGATTTGTATAATATTCCGATAGTTCTAGCAATTTTTTTATTTAGATTATTGACGTGATTTTGTAAGTTTGTAATTTTTTTTTTGCTTTATTCCAATATTGTCAACATAAATAAGAGGCGTAATACTTGGAATTAATTTTTTTTTTAAATTTGGTTAGAAAAACATCCATTAAGTTTTTTCTATATTAATCGATAATTTGTTTGATTTAAACCAGTCAGACATTTTAATAAGTTCAGTGTTCATATTGTTAAATAATGTTGTAAGGTAAATGCTTGTTAAAAAAAGATTGGTGTCACCGGCAAAGATAACTGTCATTAAGTTCAAGGCTTTGTAGAGATCATTGATATATATTAGGAAAAGTAAAGGGCCTAGTATTGGGCCTTGTGGCACTCCACAAGTTATATCTCATAGGTTTGATGATAATGATGAGTCTCTTTGAATAAATTGTTTACAACTAGTTATATAGTTCTTAAGTATTAATAAATTATTTCCAGTGATTTCCAGTGTTCTAGTTTGTTATAAAGAATTTCATCATCAATAGTATCAAAAGCTTTCGATAGATCTATGAAAATACCTAATGTGTATTGCGATGTTTCAAATGAATTAGCAATATTTCTTGTTAGTTGAAGAATTGTATGTTCAGTATAAATTCATACATACATAAATGTATACATACATACATACATACATACATACATACATACATACATACATACATACATACATACATACATACATACATACATACATACATACATACATACATACATACATACATACATACATACATACATACATACATACGCATTGTGGAACCCGCGATACTCTTAAATTTATTTTACTTGGTATACGTTATCATAACATCAAAGAAATAGACAAAATATTTTTAAAATATCTTATGCAATAATAACATCTGTTACAAAACGTCTTTTGTAATTTTAAATAAAATACTTTCTTTCAAAGATATATTTTTCATTAAATTATAAAAATTGAACACCTTTTATCTTTTTAAAAAAAATGTATTCAAAGAAATGCACAATCAGTAAATGTTATTAATCAAATAATTGTAAAAAGAATAATATTTTAAGAGTAGCGTTTTTAAGAAAACTAAAATTACACATCGCAATGGAATTAACTTTTATATTTCTGCTTTTTTTTTTTTTTTTTATTCCATCTACCTCAAAAGTAGTTAATATTGGTTTTCTTTTTGACGATTTTAAATTAGAGATAATAGCAAAGACTGAAATCGAGTCAATAAATTTAAATCTTCAAAATAACATTTTTCTAAATTATACATGGCACAAAGTTTTACCTGATTCGAAACAAATGTTTCGTGAAATCTGCTCTAATATTATTTCTAATAATATCTTCGTTATTGTAACTGCTGATTCAAAAACGAGTGCGCCACAAATAGTCTCTTGCTTCGGATCTTTATATAACATACCAATAATTGGTTTGCAGACAAGAAATATTGAGTTCTCCGACAAGGTAGGATCTTATTAATTTTTATTACCAAATATTTTAATTACAGTTTTGACTAAAGTTCCAAGTCCTGATGACATAGAACTTTATATTTTTAACCACAACATTAATGTCAATAAAAAAATATTTTCTATTGAAGGAATTCAATTTATTTGAAAGCCCAAAAACAAAACTTATAAGCATTTTAAATAATCAAGTTTTTTTTAAAAAAAAAGAAAGCAATCTAGTTTTTTTTAAAAAAAAAAGCGACCGAGTTTAAAAAAAAAAATTCACAAACAATGCACAAGCAAGTAACAAATAATCAAATATGTGCAATCACGTTATATAAATATATTGCCTTATTCTCTACGGCTAAGCAACCAACAACCATCTATAATTCCCAATTGTAAAATCTTTCTATTGTTAATGCATGTTTTTAATTTTTAAAGATTGTTATTGATTGACTTGACAACTTGTATTAGCTAATGTATTAGCTCTTGAGAATTATGCGGTTGCATCTATCCCTGAAGTGAGGCGGAATGCGGCAGGATACCATCCCTTCACCTTTTTATAAAACATAAACCATCCCGCCACCTTTTTATAAATCTCTATATATAACAATGATAAGACGGGTTGGTTTTTTTAATTTAAAGATGCTTTACAAAAAATTGCGATGCCTAAAATGAAAAATTGAGCCTGGGAACTAAAAACCTTGAAATTTCGGGTACAACTGGCCCAAACCTGTGTTTTAATGTGCTGATCTTATTTGAGCACAAATTCCTTACACTCCTATTTGAATGCAAAATCTTAAAGGTCTGCAGTAGGCTGTGTATGATGACTTTTGATTTTTCCAAATAGGCATTTCGCTATTTCTGTTGTTAAATCTAATCAAGTCCAATAAAAAAAATAATAATTCTTCACGTTTTTAATTTCTATTCATTACAGCTTATGATAAAACTTGTTTATATATTCTTTGACCCGTAACACCATCAAAGCTAGCCTTGTGAGACACACGTGATAGTTATTGTTTTTATTGGTTTGTATTACAACACCAAGTGCTTCATCACAGGTTCCTGAACTGCATAGATTCTTTGTAAAGTTTGAATTATAAAATCTTATAAAGGACCTAAAGCTGAACAGTTCTCCACTGTTTTAATTACAGGATAAAATTTTAACTTTGCACCCCTGAAATCATTGTAAGTGGAGTAAATTTAATACTATTTCTCCAAGGCTCCGCTTCGAATCAATTAATAGAAAGCTTTTGTAAAAAATAAAAAGTGTAAATCTCATTTTAATACACATGCCTAATATAATGTACATAGCGCAAATCAAAAACTGTTAAGATAACGTTAATGTAATAGTAGGTTATTGGAATGCAAAATTAGGTACCATAGCAACCATATTGAAACATATTAATTTAGAACAGTGAATTAAGAAAACGTGCAATCAATGGAAACTCGATCAAAACATCAGCTCAAATAAATATTAGACAGCACATCGCAAACTGTGTCAATCATTAGTTATAGTGCAGCAAAAAAATATTTTTTAAGTACATTTTTTTTAAAACCTGTGATATTTAAATTATTACTATGATAAAATGACAAGTTTATGCAAGAAAATGCTTTTTCTTATCTCTGAATACTCTAAAATAACATACTTTAATTTGGTATTTTGACAACACAGATGTAATTGAAATATCACACAACCTTGATCTTAACATCGCAAATTTAGATAAATAAATATATCACACAACCTTGATCTTAACATCGATATAGATAGCGTTGTTACCTGGACTCGAACCTGGATAATGGAACTCAACATCAAGAAATGCAAAGTCATGCATTTCAGTAAGTACAATGTTTCCCCACACATTTATTTAATGAACGAGTACGACGCTAACGGTAGCGTCACTAGAGCAGTAATCGAGTCTTCAACATCCGAAAAAGATCTAGGCGTTCAAATTTCCAACAACTATTAAAAGCAGAGATACCAAAATAAGGAAAAAACTTTACACCACTTATATACGCCCACGTCTCGAGTTTGCAGTTACTGCCTGGTACCCGCATCTTAAAAAAGACATAAATGTCATAGAACGTGTTCAGCATCGGGTTACCAAAGTACCGCACGAAATAAAGCGATTCGATTACGAGACAAGATGCATCAAACTCGGTCTCACCTCTCTATTAAATAGACGTTTACGCGGCGACCTCATCCAAAAATATAAATTCGAAAACAGTATTGACTCAATTAGCTGGCATATAGATCCACCTAACATCCCACCTAGCTATGGTCATCGCAAGCGCTTTCATCGTGAAATGGAAACAAGTGCCTCGTTCGCTATAATTCCTTCAACAACCGCGTTGCTCACCCATAGGACGCATTACCTAACGTAGTAGTCAGTGTAGCAGTGTCGATCGCTTCAAAGCAAAATTCGATCAGCTTTAATAATTACTACAGCGCATCAACTTCCGTGCAATTTCGCACGAGCTAGCACGGCTAGCTGTTGATGGGCTTATGGAACACGCCCGCTCCGTGTAATTTAACTTTTAACTTAACTTTAACTTAACAAAATTACTTATATATCATTATAATATTTTTTTTCAAATTTCAATATTTAAATGTTCAGTAACTAAGGGATTTATATAAATGAAATGTCAATAAATTTCTCTTATATATACAGAAACTAAAATTAAATAAGTTTTATAGATTAGACGACTAAAGTTTTTTCGATCTACTGGTCACTGTGTACTAAATTGTTCGTACTTTTTGATATTTTGCAAAACCGTTTTTTGCTAAACCCTACTATCTTTTGTCCCACCCTTTTTGCAATGATCTTTTGCTACACCCTTTTAGTATTTCCTGCATTTTTATGCTAAACTACTTAATAGTTCTTTATTATACTGATAACTTTAATAACTCATTAAGTTTGCTACAGCTGTTCACTTTGCTGTTGAATCAAATTAAAAATACTACGTTCATTTTTTTTTTTTGATTTGTTGAAACAAATTACTATAATAATAAACATAGTTAATGCATTATTAATGATTTTTTTAAATTCAAACTTCCAAACTACTTAAACTATATGACAATTTTGTTATATTTTAAAAAACTATTTTGTTCAACTTTTAAATAAACTGCCTATTTTTCCGAACCACCGACAGAAAAACGTTTAGTTCATTATTAAAATCATTAATGATATGACAATAGTTTAACCTTATCTCAAAACACCATTCTCAAAACCTCACTGCGTCTCAAAACGCTGTTTTTATTATTAGGGAGATAAATCAATGAATTTAATTTTTTTGGTGCAGGTGAATTTTTACAAGAAAAAGTTAAATCTTAAAAAGATAACATTTATTATGAAAAAAATAACTATTCATCTCTTCTAAGGAGATCCTGTACATCAAGATCAAAGTGAGGACAAGCAAATATCTTGGGGTTAAACAAATCGAAGAGATCACAGGATCGCTCCTTATTAGTAGATAATAGAAATGGTTCCGCTTCGCATTAACTCTAGATATTTTGCTTATGTGATTGAGTCTTGCACTTTTTATATGGCTTTATTTTGTGCTTCCTGCTCTTTTTTTTTCATTTTTTTTTCATTTGTTTTTTTAGGTGCCCCAAGAAGTCCTAACGGTCGTGTCACAGAGCACCGCGGAAGTGCATTTAACCAGAAAGTTCACGCCTCCTTCCTTACCCTGAAGCGAAATTTGTCCAAAGCTAGTTTTGAACCTGGATCTCCTGCTTATAAAGCAAGCGCTCTAACCACTACACCACGGCGCGTCCTTAGAATAGACTCCTATCAGGGCCGCTAAGAGGGGGACAAAAATAAGAGGTCCCGGGCGCAGATATCTAAGGGACGTTAATTTAAAAAAATGTACCTGAAAGAAAAAAAAACGGTCCTTCACTTATAATGTAGGGAAATTTTGATAAATAAGGGCGCCATTAAGGGTTGCTGTCTCAAGTAGTGTGACCGCTCTCGGCGGCCCTGGCTCCAATAGAATGATTCAAATGCTCAGTTATTAAAAATCCTTGCTCCAGAATCTTGTGAAGTGTAGATGGCATAATGTACCAAGTATAGGTTTCCTCTATCATCTCTGAAGTTTTATATTAGCATGCTTTAAAAGCATCCAAGTTCAGGTGGAACCCAATTCAAATGGCACGTAAAGTTTACAACCCCATCATTTAGGGGGATATATATTTTACAAGGATTTATATTCTTTATTCTTATGCCCACAAAACCAATTCGGGCAATTTGTTTTTTTTTTCAGACCCTACTGTTTTATCCCCGGTATAACGACTGTATTCGTTTTTTTATTAATTCATAAACTAAACCATTAATTTTTTAGTTAAAGTTTGATCTTCTCTTTTAACAATTTCGAAGCACTTCAACCTTTTACAGTTACATTCAAGCCCTGTTTTATGAGATGCCTTTTTTTTTTTATACTTTCGCGCAATCTTTGTTTTATCTTTTCTTAGTTTTTTTTGTTACTTGTTCTAGTGGTTCAAATGTTGCCATTTTTAGTAATAAACATTAACCGAATCATCTGCGAGTATTATGAAAAAAAAAAGGACTTGGAGCTTTGAATCTAAGTCTTAAAAATACAGAGTAGTGTATGGTTTATGTCTTTTAGTAAGTTTAGATTATTTAAAAACTTATTTTTTCGGGGAGGTAACTATTTCTATATTAAAGAAGAGAGACATAATTTCATCAAACTTTAAATATACATAAAATCAATTATTTGATTCAAAATCAAATACAAAAGATGGTTCTGTAGTTTATAAAGCTAGAAAATCAAAAAATTTTCAAAATGTGACCCTGCCGTTTCGTCCCGTGGAGTCTTCATTTGTGTGGACAATTTATAAAGATAAGATTGCAATATTATTGCGTATAAGCAAGTCTTAAAATGATAAAACTAGAGTGATGTAATTTACATGCAAATACTGCAAAAGAACTCTTGAATAATTTGCTTAGGCGCATTTCTTACTTTTTTGTAAAGTTTTAATAGTTTAGATACATGTGTTTCATTTAAGAAGTTACAAAAAGCAATCCTTAAATAATTGTACAATATTGGAAAATATGTTGTATGTTAATATTAAATAATGTATTAAGTGATGTGCGAAATTTCTTGCATTTCAATTAACAAATATGATTAAAAAATTGTAATAGGTTACAGGTTGGTACAAGGAGAAAAAAGCGTCATGAAGTTTGATACTTTGCGACAACTGATGGAACACTCAAACAACTAGTTTTTTTGCATTGTTGATCCACAAAACGCCTTTCAGGTGCCTCAAATTGTTTATCCAGACAATCCTTCGTTACCAGCGTAAAATTGTAGTTTTTGAGATGTAGTAAATAGAGGAGGCCAACCGAAAAAACGTTATAGCTTTAATTTAAAGACCTAGGACTTAACAAGTTAAATCCTGAGCTTTTAGTATAAAGGCTCAAACAGCAGAGTTTATTCAATAAATACGAGCAAATTACAGGTAAGAGAAAGCGTCACCAAATATTTTCCAGCTTCGTCAGTCAGAAAATTGTTAGAAAGCGCTGTCCTACAACAATGTACCCAGTCTTTTTGAGCTTATTGATATCATATGTTCACCTCTTCAGTTGTGTAGGTTTTAATTAAACTAAAATAACACGTTATTGAAAAAATCTTTTTTAACCTTTTTTAATTAATATAAAGCTATTTATATTAATTTAAAAAGTTTAGAAACTTTTTAGTTGAACATTTTTATAATTCCGCACTTGTTTTAGACGGTTTTCCTTACCATTATTTCTTAAATAAAAAGATACCGCATAAAATGTGTAGCAAACTTTCAGAACCGGATGCTTTTCCACAAAAATGTGATAGCTTTACAATAAAATACTTTCACCTTGTGAAGCCGACTCACATCGAAGAAAAGGTTTTATGTTTTCTAAGTGAGTTGCCGTCGCCACAGCAAATAGTCTTTCTTGTTGCAAATTTTTTTATTAAACTTGTATTTAAAATCAATGGTTTCAAAAATAAATATAAATAATTTTTCTAAATGAAAAACTCAACACTTTTTATTTTTTGTTCTTAATAAATACTCTATTGATTTTTTTCTGTTCTTCCGCCACCGTCAAAATAAAAATATTGTACCGCCAGGTTCAATATTTTTATTTTAACCTTCAATTTCTTGTTTAGTAAGTATTGAAATTTTTAGTAAATTTTTTTAGTAAGTAATGTAAGTAAGTATTGTTACTAACTTATCAACTTTCTCGTAAGTATTGAAAAAATACAAATATCCTATGCTTATTTAATTCTAAACTTATTAACAAAATATGTAGATTTTTCTGAAAGTTCTACATTAGACAGCTTTTCGATCGTAAGCGTTTGTTTCTAAAATGACTTAAACATTTGCATGAATAATACCAACGTCAGTAATTTGCATGGTTGTTACCAACTTCGATAATTATATTTGTACGTATAATTTTTTATATACTTAATTAAAACAAAGAAGATACTTGTAAAATTTTAAAGATGCACTCTTATTAATAAAAATGCTCTGAATGCAATATTATGCTTTAAACTCCCTTTACAGAAATAAAATCTGTTTTAGTTTAAAGACAGTTACAATGTTTTGACTAAATTGAGATTGCAGTGCCCCGACAAGTATTAGATAATAAACATACGTAACAGCGTATAAATCGTTTCCATGAAATAAAACTTAATTTGTATTTAATTTGTTTATATTAAATAGAACCTTCATCCAATGTTCTTAAGAATGGTTCCTTCTTACGTAGAACAAGTTCAAGTGTGGCTGCAAATAATGAAAGAATTTAGTTGGACAAAAATTATTGTATTGACAAGTGACGACAAAGAAAGCCAAACTTATTACATTCAGTTTGCAACCAGAGCTTACAAATCCAACATTGTAGTAAGTTTATACTTTTCAACTTAAAATGCTAAACATATAAATAAATACACGATTAGCACCCATACTATAAACATAAAGCTCGGATGAATGAAGTCCAGCTTTTTTTTATTTAACTTTTTTTCTTTTTTTAAAAGTTTTGTGTTGTATTTTTTGTGCGTGTTTTTGCTTCTAAATTGAAAATTAAAAGTATTAAAATGATATTTTGTTATTTTGTTATTTTTATTTAAACTCTTACGAGTTTTTTAACTCTTGGTTAAAAGAATTTTCTATAAAGCGATTCTAACAATTAATATATTATTGTTTTCGGTTTTAAAGTTTACTACGTTATTTCATTACATTTGAAATTGAAATAATGAAATAGAAACACAAACGTTTTATTATTTTTACTATATATGTATATAAATTATTCAATGTTTCTAAAGTAAAAATATATCAATAATACTTTATTGATATATTTTTACTTTACTCTTTTTTTTTCTAAGCATTCTAATAATACTCGAAATCTAATGGTCAAAATAAATCAAAACTTAATTTTCCAAAAAATACTAATTTGTATAGGTGGATAAATTTTGTCGTTAAAGAATATTAGGTTTTATAAAAATACTTAGCTATTTCTATAATTATAAAAGATTTGATAAATGTGAAAAAAGGAAGCCCCATTCAATTAAATCTTGAAAAAAAAAATGGATCATCGACCAATGTACTAAGTGTACCCATGATAACTAAAAAAGAAGCAACTTAAGTATTTTTTGAAAAATATTTCTCAAAAAAACTTTTTAAATGTTGGTAAAACAATTTTAATTAAAAGTTCATTTAAAAACAAGTGGTCAAAATCACCAATCGTCAAATGACAAAAAAAAAAATTAAAAAAAAAATTGATTTTTAGTTTTTTAAATTTGAACCTCAAAAACCGTTTTTACATATGACAAAAAAAACAGACCTGAGTTTATTACCCCAGCAGAGTTTGTGGCAGAGCATATATATATAAATGGATTATAGAACATGGTATAGAACCCACTCTAGTTACTATTGGCTGTGGTTCAATCAATCTTAATACAGGTAAATGTTTGATAATAAATACAGGCGAGTATTTAATGTTAAATGCCATGCACATATTTAAATGAGTTTTTTGAGGCTGGAAAGGATGTATTATTCCTTTTTTAGAAAAAATGAATAAAACTTTAAACCAAACTTATTTAGATAGTTTGTGCCTTGCACACAAATGAATTACCTTTGAGGCACTTAATGTCAGTTATTGATGGGAAAACAATTTCAAACAATAGGTTTTCTGGCAATATTGGTAAACTTGTTTCTAATTAAAGATATAGATATTGAAATTGATTTATTAGATATTGATGAAGGTACTTTAAAAAGTTATTTAGTGATCAAATATATCTATACCCGATAACAAAAGCTATTAAAGATAAAGTAATGCCAGACGGTTTAAAAGAAATTTAGGTTGATCCCCACAATCTTGCACGCTGGTTAAAAATGGCAAGTAGGCTTTGCAAAATTAGGCGTTCACACCATGGACTAAATAAAAAAAATACTGAGAATTTCAAACACCTTTCACTGTTCTGTGTATACTCTGTATAATGGTTTGAAATTAAGGTAAAAACTTTTTATATTTACTTTGATAGTTTTTATTTGTATATATGGATAATTTTATTAATAAAAAATGTTTAGTTAAAACAAAAACAGATTAACGGACCACACCGTATTATCAAACAGCTGGAACTTGTCCAAAAAAAGAAATTAAATATTCAAAAGCAATTTTAACCAATGTTTGTTGCTCTGATTGGAATGCTCACAGTGAACTTATTTATTAAAAACTTTATTTTCATTTGATTGTTTACGATAGTTTTATAATCAACATAAACTAATTAAAATCAACACTGTAAAAGACAATACAAACGAACATACATTTGGTGAATAAAAAAATAAAATAAAATAAAATAAAAATAGTTTACATAGTAAATAATATAAATGTCAATAAATACAACAAGTTGGTTATTATTATACTTTGAACAAAACATCCAAATCAAAGGACAATAAAAAAAATTTGACAGTATAAAAACATTGAATAAAACAGTAGCTTGTTTTACTGAGAAGAAGCTCCTTATTCATGAAAAAGAATAGCATTTACTATTCGCTTTTCCAACAGACTTTTAATATGATTATCAAATTTCAAATCCTTATCAATTGTAACCCCGAGAAGTTTAACCTTAGAGGAAACCATAATTTTTACATTTCCAACCATTAAAATTGATCTTTTCAATTTTTCAAAAAAAAATTGAAATTACTTCACCCACTATTTTGTTGCAGTGAAGGATGTTTGCAGAGAAGACAATACTTTCAATAAAAAAAATTAAGTTCTCTATAAAAATACTGCTGTAAGATCAAGAAAAATTCCAAAAATTAATACTGATGCTGAAATTTTATCGAACTGATTGATTGGAGTACTGATATTTACGAACCTTTGCTCACATGCAAGATTAGTAAAGAACTTATTTAGTTGTTTGAAACAGAAATTCCAGAGTTTCGGACAATCCATAGAAAGAATTGTGAAGGAAGTCACAAGAGCTTCTGGCATAGTTTACGGATAAGTAGTAATAGTTTATAAAGGCAACAATGGCTCACAGAGAACTTCTTCCTGTTTTAGAATCTAAACAGAATTTGATTTAGCAATAATTTCTAACTTTGCTGTAAAATTAATATAATCGAGTAAACTCATAAAATTACTTATAAATGATTTTTTATGTTTCTAATTGGTAGTATTTGGGGTGGTGGTTGAGGAATCTTTTAAAGATTTACTTTCTATATTACAGTCATATTATACTGTTATGCAAGATATTACAGCAAAGTTTAGCAAAAATACGATCTTTGTAAACTTTTAAATTAATAAGTTTTTCAGCCAAAATGACTGTCTAAGGTATTTGGGATTGAGGATTCGATTAAAGATGTTTTTGAGTCAATCAAATAACCGTTCAAAGTTTGCGGTAAACCACGTATATCGCATTTTTTACCAAATTTTGACCTCAAAAACCGAAGTTTTTTAAAGTCAAAATTTGAAAACCTAAAAATTAAAATTTTTAATTTTTTTTGCATTAGTTTTACATAAGGGCCAACACATTCAAATGGCCTAAGCATTTGTTGTTAAAAGTTGAAAAATGACCCACCCTAATATATATATATATATATATATATATATATATATATATATATATATATATATATATATATATATATATATATATATATATATATATATATATATATATGTATATATATATTTATGCGGTAGTGGTGTAGTGGTAGAGCGCTCGCTTCATAAACGAGCGCTCTACCACGAGCGCTTTTTTTTTATTTTAATTCACCTCCTCAAGGCCTTCTCGGCCTTGAGGAGGTGAATTAAAATAAAAAAAAAATATATATATATATATATATATATATATATATATATATATATATATATATATATATATATATATATATATATATATATATATATATATATATATATATATATATATATACAAACATTTATATTTACTCTATAACATTTTAAACTAATAAAATTAACACTCGTTGATTCAAAGCTAAATAATGAGTTGCAGTTAAACGGTTTTAGATTGAAAACTCTTTGGTATTTCCAAGTGGTACTATAAATGTATTTCCCTACATGAATCTTTTAAATGGCACTCAATCGCGAGTATTCTATGTAATTTGCAGGTGATTATCATGTTTAGCATTTTTAGTACTTTTGGGTTAATTTAGTTTTGTATCTATGTCATTATCTATTATCATTATCTTTTATCACAGTGCGTTTGATGCAAAAAATGTTTTTGAAAGTGCAAAAAAGCTTCAGTTAACCGGCGAAGGACATATTTGGTTGACTAACGAAGAAACTTTAGATGAAAATATTCTCAAATATGTACCTCAAGGTAAACATTATAATTGGTTTAATTAGTTTTGTTTATTAATCTTAAATATAAATTTATGAAGTTAAAATCAAACAATTGATTTGTAGGTACCCTTTCTATTAGATTATCAACAAATTTCCAGAAAGAAGTTTATTTAAAAGATACAATTAGTGTTATAATGAATGCTTTAAATAAAATGGAAAAACTGAATACTTCGCCACCAAGCTCATGCAGTGAACCGTTAGGAAACTGGATCACAGGAAAAAAATTTTACAAGTATAATTTTACAGTATACTAACAATAAAATATTATAAAAACTACACACATTCACACACACATGCATAGATAGAATCGTGCGGCCCGGGTCTGAATATTATTTATATTTTTCATAATATTTCAACATGATCATATTTTTCATTCGTAAATATTAATAAAGGTATTATATTTACAATTCAAACCCAAACAACAATAAAGTTTTTATTCTAATTTTACAAACAAGTTTAAAGAAATAATAAAATAGACTATTTGAATTAACACTAATTTTTTTAACAAGAGTTGTAGGTTAAGGTTTGAATTAACACTAATTTTTTTAACAAGAGTTGTAGGTTAAGGTTTGAATTAACGCTAATTTTTTTAACAAGAGTTGTAGGTTTTATACAAAAGGAACAATACAAAAGTTCTTTTATACACCTAGAGGGGCCTCTTTGTACCTAGAGCTTCCCACTTTATTTAAAAACTTTTAAGTAATGCTTCTCAGTCAGATGATTGGTTATAAAAAATTTTATTTTTTAATCCGATTTTCAGAGAACATTGCTACGGCATGTTATAATCGGAAAACGCTTTTTGATGGTCTAAAATAAGTTTTTGCCGATGGTATCTTAGTTTTACAATACTAGAGGATATGCTTTTCTATAAGTTCTTGTATATTATTTTGTTTGTTACTTAAGTACTAAATGCGATGTTCAATAAGTTTCCTCTCAACCAGGATTTGTTAACAAATTACATTTTTCATAAGGCTATCATTTCATGTACTTAGGGCCATATCGTTTGCTTTTACCTAGGGCCATATGTGCGTGAAGTATTTTCTTGAAAAAGAGGTAGATTGTGAAATTATGATTGGTGTAGAATTTTATTTTCTCGCGGATGTTTTGTGACTATCATTTTACGCTTAGATTTGTGAATTTTGCTTAGAAGTAGTAGTCAATTTTGTCATTTATTTCAGTGTTGCAATTAAGTAAACGCTAGATAAATTTTTTGTTAAATCTAAGATTAATCAAAATTTTAAGTTAAGTTCAATATTACGGAGATAAACCTAATTTTCAGAGAGCGGAGCTACGTAAAACAGCTGGTGGCTCCAGGTACATTAAAAAAAAAAGCTTATTGTACCTAGGGCCACTAATTTTTAAATATTTTTACATAACTTTTTAGTTTAAGTCACATCTCTGACTACAAAACAGCTGAAAATAAGACAAAAATATAAAGAAAAAAAAATTACTTTAGACGTGACAGATTTTAGATTAATAAAAGGAAGTACACTTCTTCTAGCCTTTGTTTAGAAAACAAGTTTTACAAGGCAGCAGGAGATGGAAAAGGTTGCACTGCATGTTTCACTGAGCTACATGTTACAGTAGCAGAGTGATTATAATGATCATACGCCTGACTGACACTAAATAGTGCTGATCATACGCCTGACCTGACACTAAATAGTCTTTTAATGATCATACGCCTGACCTGAAACTAAATAGTCTTTTAATAATCATACGCCTGAACTGACACTAAATAGTCTTTTAATGATCATACGCCTGACCTGACACCAAATAGTCTTTTAATGATCATACGCCTGAACTGACACTAAGTAGTCTTTTAATGATCATACGCCTGAACTGACACTAAATAGTCTTTTAATGATCATACGCCTGAACTGACACTAAATAGTCTTTTAATGATCATACGCCTGAACTGACACTAAATAGTCTTTTATAAACTAAATTCCTATAAAAAATATTTTCAGTTTGCAAATAAATTACAGGGTTAAATAATAATAAAATAAATTAAAAAAAATAATAAAATAAGTGATAATTTAAAAAAAATTACATTGCAAATACTGGCAAAAAAATACTTAAAATAATGTGCTAAAAACACAGTTTTAATAGCCAAAGATGACCTAGAACTTACTAAAACGTACTTAATAAACATTAGAAAATTCATGAGGAAAAATAAAATATAAAAAACACCAGCATGCTTTATTTTACACAATAAAACTTTTAATGTAAACTGTAGCTGTGCACAATAAATACATAGAACAACCAAAGTTTAAAGTATAGAACAGTTCAAAAGAAGAACAACTCAACAACGTTACTTAAACAACATAAAAAGATATTTCCACATTAAATAAAACAATTGTTTAATGCAAATAGGTAAGTAAATAAAGCAAAAGGTTGCAAATTCTCTCATATCTAATATAGTACCTAAAAATACAAACTTACTTAAGAGAAGCGGTTGGGCTAAAAATCCAACTCAAGAATGGAATAGTGCAATCGATTAGCGCAATTTTTGCGACCTCAAAATAAATAAAGCCCTGGATTTGCAGTAAAATGTTTTTTTGTTTTTTTTAAATGATCATTGGTCTTTCATCTATCATATTTAAAAAATAAAAAGTAAATAAAAAATACCTGTGAGGTATTGCAATAGTAAGAAAAAAATAGATTTAACATTAATTTTAATAATAGAAAAAACAGAAACAATAATTTAACGTTAATTTTTTTTTTGATTGAGAGTCACCATCTTAAAAGAATCGGACAGAGCTAATTAGTGACCTCTCTTCAAGATTGTTTTTTTTTTTTAAATATGTTGTTGCTAATTGTACTAGAAAATCAATTTCAAACTACATTTCAAAAAAAATGATTATTTAGATATTGCATTTTAAAATTTGGCAAATATTTTAGTCAAACTCAAAATTAAAACAAAAGTTTACAAACTTAAAATTAAAACAAACCCCACTTTCCTTACTGTTAAATTATTTTATTATTATATATTAGCTAGTTGAGACCTATAAAAGAATAAAATATATATGACAGGCAGATTGCTTGTATAAGTATCATGCTCTTCAAAAATACGTAATAGTTGATCTTTTCATTATTTTTAATTTTAATTTTCATATAAAACCTTCTATATTCTTACAATACTATTCTTAAATTATATAATATTATAATTTTTTTTAAATTATAAATCTTCATCTAGTAAGGTATTTAAATATGTAAACTGTTAGGGTTGTTGATAAGTTACCTTGTATAGGTGGTGTTGGTGGGGGTGGGGGTGGGGAGAGGGAGGATAGGATTCTGTGACAAGAGAGAGGGTGTCTAAAAACTTCAGAAAAAACATGACGTAATTTATGAACAGCCCTTTAGTTGCAAAATCCAAACAATAAATAAATAAAAATTCGGCAAATATCATTTTCAATCTAATAGTAAAAAGAGCCATGCTCAGGTTTTTATATTTAACAATTTTTGATTCAAAACTCGGGGCTAATATTATATCACGCTTTGTTTAGAGCTATTTGAATCCTTTCCCTACTTGTCACAAAGTGTCGCAAAACATATGTGCCTCCCCCCCCCCTTCCCTCATCCTTATATAGTGTGACGTAATAAAAATGTATTTTCTTTTTTATTTATCTTAAAAACAAAAGCTTTTTTATGATTTTCTATTTAAAAATGTAAAATGCAATATTATGAGTTTATGTTCTAGCTAAATTGTCCGCGTTTAATTTTGGTTTAAGCATACTATTAATCTATATTCAAAATAAGCCTGGAACAAATAATGTCTGATGATGTCATGATGAACATACATGAACATCCAATGTCTGCATCTCTTTTTTTTGAAAAGATAGTAGTTTTATAACGTTTGTGTAAAAATAACCAGAAATTAACCTAATGACGTTTGGTTGTAAAGAATTTAGGCTTGTATTTAGAAATGAGAGATCAGATCCACTACCTTTTTATTAGATCGAATCCTTATAGAGTAAGCACTTTGTTTGTAAAGCATAAGAAATATCAAAGGATAAGCCATCAAAGGAAAAGCTATCAAAGGATTGCCATCAAAGAAAAAGCCATCAAAGGATTGGCCATCAAATGCACTGAATTTGTTAGTATCTTAAATGTAAAAAGCATTAAAACTTAACTTCTTTTTTTTTTTGCGATTTAAATAGTTTTATGCGTGTTAACGTGCTTTTTAAAATTTAAATAGTGATTACAGTTGTTAAAGTTATTGAAAGCGCCTTTAAACGCATACGTGCGCAATATGCGGATGTTAAGTGCATGCGACAAACAAAATTTCACTTCTATATTTAAATTTCTAGGCCCAAAATTTTTTTTGATGTAAAATATCTATTTATTTATAAAATATTATTGAAAAATATCTATTTAACTCACAATTATCCGAAAAATTTAATAGTTTGGTATTTTTTTTCGTTTTTAACTTAATCCGCCTCACTGTGCGATGAGGTAAGATTGTAACAAACAATTCCGAAAAAGTTGTGACATTCGCCCGACGTAATGTGATGCTCGGGTTGATTTAAACGTAGTTGCTACTTTAGTGGTTCATTTTTTCGGTGTACAAAAAGTTTTTACAGTATTTGTTATTTAGTATATTTATTTCTTTGATTTGTCAATAGTTTTACCAAAATAATTGTTGAAGTTATACTTGCAAAATATTATAAAGTTTTTTCAAAAACATGCACGCGTTTAGAAAAGTTGTTTGTTGAATTTGCAAAAAAAAAAGGGCAACGTCATTATTAAACAACTAGCTAGTTGAGACCATTTATGGTCATCATCGATGACCAAAAATGATTTCGTGTTATACAGCTGGTTAATAAGTTTCCTGTTTCATTGCCTTTTATTGTTATTCAATAGTGTATTTTAGAGTCTTTTCACGTTTTGTATATTTAATATTCATTTTTTTAATTTACAACTTTTCAATTGATTTATCACCAAGTTTAAGAATATTTTTCTCTGACTGACCCCTTTTCAAATATTGAAAAGTCTCATTAATTTGGCTTTCTTTTCTCCAGTCCAGGATGTTGAACAACCAGGGTACTTTCTATCATAATAGGATTGAACAGTTTCGAGTCTTTTTGCGTTATGTGTTGTGAGAAATTTGTACTTGTTTAAGGTTTGTACTTGGGTAAAGTTTGTACTTGTTTAAAGTTTATATTCGAGCGGAGTTTCTATTTATGTGAAGTTATTTTTTATTGACAATTCATGTACTAAACCACACATATACATAAACCACGCCTTTTATACACGACACAATGACACCACATCAAAACGACTCCACTAAGTAATGAGATTTCCTGATATTTATTATATATCTAAATATTTTTAAAGGACTTTGGTAAATACGTCGCTCGTTGGCTACACTGGAATGGTGAATTTTGATTGGTACGGTGATCGAAAAAACAGCAAATACGAAATAACTAATATTTATGATAAAAGCACATTAATAAATGTTGGCTGTGTCACTGGTTCAAATGTAACAATAAATGTATCTAAGATTGTTTGGCCAGGAAATCAAACGCAAATCCCCAAAAGTCTTGTTATTTCAAGAAACTTAAAGGTTTTTGTCAAAAGTGTTATAATTCTAAATTTTATTTTATACAAAAAAGTTTTACTGCATTTAAAAAAATCTAGTTTTGCTGTATTTAAAAGAAAAATCTCATTTATGAATTACTTGATTTAAACAATGCTCACTTTAATGCAAATTCTTGTTAGATACCGTAACACGTTACTTTGGCCAGCTGGATTACTTTGGCTGTTTTAAAAACATTAATTAAACATCTGTAACTTTTAAACAGTAAAGTAACGTTTTACTATTTTAAACAAAAAAAACGTTACTTTACTGTTTAAAAGTTACAGATGTTTAATTAAACTTTTTAAAAATGGCCAAAGTAACCCCGCTGGCTGTGTTACGGTAATTTAAAAAAAAATTTACTTCTTTCTATCCGAATAATGATTCAATTTATTTTGATTTCTTATTAGTAAAAATACTGGTGATATTTAAGTTTAAGAAATTCAAATTATTTGTTTAAAGAAATTCTATTTATTTATTTAAAGAAATACTATTTATTTGTTTGAAGAAATTCACTTTGTTTTTTAACTAAGTAAAAAAAGATCATTATATTTAATTAACTAACTAATGTGGTTATTATATTTAGGGAAATCCCGGATAACCTATCCGACCGGATATTCGGGTTAGATAGGAGTATTATTTGATATCCTGTAACTGGCCGGATAATAACTTTATCCGGTTTTTGATATGACGGATATTTCATGTTAATGTCATTTGAAAATAGAAAGGTTTAAAAAAATCTACACATGTTATACTTTTAAATAATCTAATGTTAATGGTTTCTATTGAATATTGTTATTATTATTATTAAAATACTATTAAAGTTATATATGCGCAAAAAATATATTAGTTAATCATTTATTTATAAAATTATTTGCAATATGATGTATAAATAATAATATTTCTCCACGTTGAATTAAGAGCCTTGATTGCTTTTTCTCATAAATATTTCTATATTCTGAAAACAATTTTTCCAAAAATACACTGGATACGAGTACTCGTATCCAGTGTATTTTTGGAAAAATTGTTTTCAGAATATAGAAATATTTATGAGAAAAAGCAATCAAGGCTCTTAATTCAACGTGGAGAAATATTATTATTTATACATCATATTATAGCACCACTCGAGTGGTGCTAGTAACTTAAGTGCAAACTCTTTTAGCAGTGGAAACTCTTCGTGTTTACAATAACTTAAAACGTCATTGTTTTTTTCTATAATCGATTGATTATAGAAAACATCATCTCTTGAGCAGCTTTTACAAGGAAGACTTTATCCGAATTCAATACATTTTGAACTTTCATGTGCAGCTGAAGAAGATTTAATATTAATTTTTTGTTCCTCTTCATACAATTTACAATAAAATTTTTTTAGGTAAATATGCAGTGGAGTTTTAAAAAATGACTTCTGACCAGATTAATTACATTATCTACTTATCTGTTTTCCACATGGAATGCAAATTGTTGTGGAATCACAGCAATAATTAATTTTGAAAAACTTACAAACAAAACTCGCCATTTTGAAGGTTTATCACGGCAATATTTTTTTGTAATAATATATTTTTTAGGATTTGAATTGGATTATTCAAAAAATTATTCGACCGGATATCCAAATAATTCGAATATCCGGTCAGATATTTAAAAAATGTTATCCGGGAAACCTCTAGCTATATTTAACTAAGTTACTAATGTGATTATTATATTTAATTAACTAAATAACTAACGTGATTATTATTTTTAATTAACAAAGTAACTAATGCGATTATTATACACGCTTGCGAAAAGTGTGGAGCTTTTCTTCACACCGGTGTGTAGCTGTAATTCCTAGACACAAGTGTGGAGTTATTTTGCACACTTTTGTGGAAATTAACTTTTTCTAACTCAACTTCTGCTCAGAAGTGTGTAGTTATTTCCACAAAAGTGTGCAAAATAACTCCACACTTGTGTCTAGGAGTTACAGCTACACACCGGTGTGGAAGAAAATTCCACACTTTCCGGGAGTGTGTATTTAACTCAGTAGCTAACGTGGTTGTTATACTTAATTGGTCGGTATTTTAGATTAATTTTTTTTAAGGTGGTAAGTATCGAAAGTAATCCTTTTGTAATTATAAAAGAAATGCATCCATCAAACAGTTGTTCTAATTACAACGACGGAAGTTATTATGTATTATGCACTGGACCTACGCTATATGATAAAGATAAAAAAGATCATTGCTGCCAAGGTAAACTGTATTTATATCTAACTGTTTATTAATAAGGACTAGACATAGATGCACCGTAAAAATAAGGACTAGACATAGATGCACCGTAAAAATACAAACTTAATGCTTTTCGGTTACATATTACTTGAAACTTTTTAATTTGAAACTACCATTTTTAAAAATTTTTTAATTATAATTAATTTGTTCTAATTTTTATTTAAATAAGTTTTTAATGAAACGTTAATACCATAGAATAAAAAAACCCTTATCATGAGGTATCAAGAAATAATAATAGCTCTCATTATTGTATCACTTTAGACCTCCTCCTCCTAGTATGTGCTTGTTAGCATTATTTTGCTTGTTTCTCTTTTAGATTTTATTTTGTATATTGTATTGAAATTGTATAACTCTCATTAGCAAAAAGTGTGTATATTTAATTCCGAGATAAAATAGCTATACAGTTATGATTAAAATTTGCGGAAAATAATGAACAAATCGATATTTATATTATAGATCAAAATATATTTAATATTTAAATGAAAAAAATATAACTTTTTTATGGGACTTTAAGTTTTATGCCATTCGGCAATCATTCAGCCATATATTTAAAATCATTAAAATAAATACTGTTATAAAAAATACAAAATTGCGTTGCAACTAGATCAAACGTCAGTTTTCACGCCAAACAAGAATTTATTTAACCGGTGTTGAATTTCGATGACAGAAACTTTTTTATGTGCCTACATGCCGAAACCAATTCATTTTTTTTAATTTAACAAAAGTTCTTTACTGTATGTCGAAATGAAATACTTTTCATTTATGCAAAAATTATACTTTTTTGAGGATGGATTTTAGGGTTGACATTTTTTAACAATACTCCACTTAATTATCGGTTTAATGTCTGCTTCCTTAAGTTTCTAGATCTCCTTAGAAAGTTTAGTGTCGTTTTTATACCTGGCAAATTTAAATGATTTTAAGTGGTTTGCAAACCTGATCTTGAAGGAGTTTTCGCTAATACCAAATGTAAGATTTTCTAGCATGATTGATGTTAGGTGGTGTTATAGTAGCCTTATAAACAATATTTTTAGTTAAGCATTGATTTTTCATAGGAAACGTAGCTCTATCTATACAGTTGCATTTTCTCACATTATCGGCATCTTTATTGCGCAAAATGTGATGTTTGTGGGACTTAATTTTGGTACTGATATTTGGCATGCAGCTGTAACTTATTTTGACGGTGTTTCTGTTAAAAATCTTGTGTAGCTTGTGGTGTGCTGGAAAATGTGAGTTGATTAAATTCAAGAAAAAATTTTCTAATTTGGTGACAACGTTCTTACTGAAAGAGGGATTAAACCATATGTTTTATTTGCATCTATTTGTATTACGATCAGTTGTTTGTAGGTTTAAATTAGGACGATATTGGATATTGTTGTTGTGTCGAGACTTTATAAGCGCTTCTTGGTCAATAGGAGCAGAGTTTTCGAAAATTATTTTGCTTGAGGAGTTTGATGATCTTTGTTCAATAGACGTCGGCAGCAATTTTAAAATACTTGGTGGGTGATTAGAGGTATAGGCATGGATATAGCTTAACAAGGCATGGATATAGCTTAACAAACTTTCAGCTTTATGGAAAGGTTTGAAGCTTCATCCTCTAAGATTTAATGTAATACCAAGATAATTCATTATGTTGCATTGAATAGAAATATTAAGGCTGTTACTTTTGAATACTGAGTTATAGGTTTTTTAATTTTTACTTTTGTGGACCTCTAGCGTTTTTAATCACGGCCAACCCATCATTTCTATACAGATCAAAATCAAACTTGTTATAAAACTGAGAAATTTGGAAAAGAAAGAAAGTTCCAACCAACTCACATACCTCGGTTCCATCAAACGCTCCCATGATGACGTCAAATAAATCGCCTCATTTTTTTTATCCAAACTTTGTTATTGTTAAATAATAAGGATTTACGTGCGTGATGAATCAATCATTTGTGCTCGTTAGCAATGGTAACATATTTTTCAGCGAAGCAAATAGAGTCGATAAAAAGCCTCTTGTTTATACCCAGCAAACATCAAGCAGGCGGACCGATAACGGACCGCTGTCAGCACTTATGTCGTACCGACGTCGGCCGCCCGTTGCGTTGCCGCGTTGGCTTGCACATCGTATTTACATCGGTCCGTTAGCGGAAAACTAAAGGCGGTTCGACAGCGGACCTATGGCGGCAAATCGACAACGTTTGAGCAACGGTCCGTCAGCTGCTAATCGATGATAAAGCCATTGCGGAATAGCATAGGATCTATAATAAGTTTTGACTTAGATTTGAATGCATTGATATACATATAATTATTTTTATTTTTTTGTTTGAATAGAACGCACTTATCGTTAGCAAAAATCTTTATATCTTTCAGCTCAAATTTTTACTCATAAAAAAATGCAAACCCTGCCAATGCCTGGAAGACACATCAAATATCTTTTGACTTTGTGCATAGGTATACAGACAAAATACGAATTTATTATACTAAAATTCTCCTACCACCGAAAAACACTACCCCAACTGTAAATCATTAGGTCATACGTGGCAAGGCTTAAGCTTGGTGAACAAAAAGACTAATCAGAAGTTATAATAAAAATCATTTTAAGATTGCAATTTACAATTACAACATGAATATAAAAGTAACAATATTTTTTTTTTAAACTAAAACAAAATATAAAGTATATTTGCATCTATAGATTATTGCTTCACTTGCGTTAAGCGAACGTTTAAAATATAAAATAGTTAATTTTCAACATATCTATAAGTTCAGTTTATTCTCATTTCAATCGAAAACTAAATATATTCAGAAAACCATGTGTTGAAAATTGATTTACGTTACAGTCTGCAGACTTCTAACTTTCACCTAAAAACAGGCAATGATATATAATGAAAATATTGAAACAGTCAAGTTTAGAGCTATTACAACAAAGATAATAAACTAACCTTCTCAGCCCTTAAAAACGTGTTCGTTTGAAATTCTGATCACCAGTTATTGACAAATAACTTCAGATACTAAGTGCATCTACATTGAATAAATATAAATTTAATTTCAATATTTAAGCATAATTTAAAACATAAAAACAAAAAAAATATTGTTTAAATTGAAAAGCTATGGAAATAACTTTAAATAAAAAGCTATATAAAAATAAAGTCATATTTCGTGCCTTTTTTAAAAAATAAAACTTCATATACAGTAACCTACCTGGTATACCTAATCCTATAAATGTGGGGTATAAATATGCTTGAGGGGTTTATGAGTAATAAAAAAAAAGTTGTTATTTCATTAAAAAAATTTTCTTTAATTTTTATTTTAATTTAACAAATAAAATAGTATTTAAAAATGAGATACTTATATGCCAGGTTTTTTTTTTTTTTTTTTTTTTTTTAACATCTTCACTTCCAACAAGGCTGCATGGAACCACTATAAGAGTTGGAAGTTACTGGAAGAGAGAAGACTAAATCTGTAGAGCAAGATAACAATTGACTGATGACTTAAAAGATTGCAAATTATATGAATCAGGAAAGCAAGATGAAGGAAGCGAATTCCAAAGAACTGATGTTCAAGGAAAAAAACTAGAAGAATAAGAGTTTTTGAAGCACTTAGGAACAGTCACAGAAAAAGGATGAGACCTAATTGAATGGCGAGTAACACGAGAATGAATTTTAGTAGATGGCACAAGGGACGCAAGCTCTTTAGAGCAGTGCCCATTATAGTATTTGTAGAAAAGAGAAAGAGAAGCAACATTACGACGATGTGACAAAGGTTGGAGATTGGCTGCCAGAGCAGGTCCAACTATGTTTACAATTCGTTTTTGCACCTTGTCTAAAAGAGAAAGAGCATCATTAGAAGATCCGCCCCAGATGTGGCAACAGTATTCCATACAGGGACGGATTTGAGATTTATAGAGATAGAGAATAGAATCTGGAGTAAGAAAGTGTCGAGCTCGATAAAGAGATGCAACCTTAGCAGATGCTAATTTTGCAATGGATTTGATATACGGTTTAAAAGAAAGATCAGAAGTAAGAGTTAATCCTAGAAGATGAATGGTAGATGACTCATCTAGTACATTACCATTCATAAATATAGGAAGATCTAAATTATTACGATAACGATTGGCCGAATAAAATTGAGTTTTATCTGAATTAAAGTTCACCAGCCACCGTGAGCCCCATGCTGTAGCAGAAGTGAGATCCTTTTCAAGCTCAGATACCCCCTCCAAGCAATCAGAGAGTGTAGGCTTCTTATCATGACAAGAGTAAATGGTAGTGTCGTCAGCGAATAATGCCACCTTAGATGTGAGAATATCTGGAATATCGTTAATGTAAATTAAAAAGAGTATAGGGCCAAGGATTGAACCTTGAGGAACCCCTGAAGTTAAAGGATGTGAAGAAGAGTGTTGTCCATCGAGGACAACTTTTATACTACGATTGGAAAAAAAGGACTCAATAATCTTAAAGACGTTACCAGCTACACCATAAGAAGAAAGCTTATGGAGAAGACCAGCATGCCAAACTTTATCAAAAGCTTTAGAAATGTCAAGTGCGATAGCCTTAACCTCTCCACCTCTATCTAATGCACGGTAAAACCTGTCAGTTATTACTGTTAGCACATCAGCTGTAGAACGAGAAGACCGAAATCCATATTGATGATCAGAAAGTAAGTTATTTGATTCAAGATGAGAGATTAAGTTTTTGATGATTAAAGATTCAAAAACCTTGCTTATGACAGGAAGAAGACTAATGGGACGGTAGTTAGATGAATCAGATCGCTCTCCGGAATTTTTGAAAATAGGGATAACAGATGCTGCTTTCCAGCATGATGGAAAACAAGACTCTGATAAGCACTTGTTAAATAGTTTAGAAAGTATGGATGAAAGCTCCGGAGAACACCTCTGCAAGACTACAACAGGAATGTTGTCAGGACCACAAGCTGTTGAAGAGTCTAAGCAGGAAATTACTTTAGATACAGAAGCTGAAGTGATGCGAATGTCAAGCAAGGGATCAACCTGTTTGACGGCTATGTCAGGTAAAACGCAACTAGTGGAATCAAGAGATGATATTGATGAAAAGTTCTTAGCAAACAATTCAGCTTTGTCTTTAGGTGAGGTGACAAAGTCTGAACCATACAAGAGAGAAGGAATAACAGATTTGCCCTTATTATTGATACTGTTAAAGATTCTCCAGAAGTCTCGAGAGCCTAATTTTGTGATGAGATACGAGATTTAATGACCTGGGAATAGCGAGCTTTGGCGTCAGACAAAACCTTTTTACAATGGTTTCTGGCGATAGTGAACAGATGTCTGTTTTCTGGAGAATTGTTTTGCTGATAGATATGGAAGTAACAGTTTCGATTAGAAATTGCTGCAGCGCAATGTGAGGAAAACCAAGGAGAAGAGTGAGGCTTGACCTGGAATCGTCGAGAGGGAATAAAAGATTCCATGCCAGCCTGAATCCACGAAGTTATGTAAGAAGCACATTTGTCAGCAGGAAGACGAAATATTTCTACCCAAGGGCCATCACAAAGAAAATCACGGAAAGAGTCCCAGTCAGCTTTAAGGTAGTTGTATGTGGTACGATGATAGGGGGATTCTGATGAAGTAGAAGAATTTGATAATAGTTTTAGAGAGATCAAACCGTGATCAGAAGTACCTAAGGGTGAATGTGGAGAAATTGAGCACTGACTAGGATCCAAAACAAGACATAAGTCGAGTAGAGAAGGTAAATGATTAGGGTTGTCTGGAAAACGAGTTGGAAAGTTGACTATTTGAGTTAGAGATTGAGAAAGGCAAAAGTTGAGGGCCTTAACGCCAGCAGAGTCACTGACACTAGAGCCAAGCCAATCGGTGTGATGGGCATTAAAGTCACCAACAACGACGATATTGGCCGATGGATAAAGAGAGAGGACTTGGTCAATTTGATCAGAAATAACATCAAGAATAGTGCAATCTTGGGATGAAGGAGAGCGATATAGAACAAAGAGAAAGACGATAGAGTGAAGTTGTGCTAAACGAAAGCACATAAATGAATAGTCTGTAAATTCAAACCTAGTTTCACGACAAATGGGTGAGTTCTTACGAATGTAGATGCCCAGGCCAAGCATGTGATTATTGGAGTATTTACGAATTAAAGGAAGATAACCATCAACACTAAGATCACAAGATGGGACAGCCGAACTCAAATTAGTCTCACAAAGAGCAAGTAGGTCTGGTGAACTTTGAAAGAGATAAGACTCAACAGAAGAAAAGTTACTTCGAAGACCACGAATATTAGTAAATGATAGGTTTAGAGAACTTGGTGATGATGGTTTTTTGTGTTTTTTAGTTTTAGATACTTTAGTCATTTTAAATTTATAAAGAACTTGACTCAAGTATAGATAGTACTCAGTACACTATTTAACAACTAAGCAATAGCCTCATTACTATTAATAAACCCTAAGCCGTAACAAAGGGCTCCAAATGTGGCCTCTGCAATGCACACCAAAAGTACAAACAGGGACACCATCCATGCGCAACATGGCACTGTTAGTACTCTGATATTTTTCGGCTGTTGATGGAATCAGCCTCTCTGAGAGCTACCACAGAGTTCGGGAAACCTGACTACCAGCCGGCCTCAGAACCATAAAACTGAGTTTTAGAGCTGTACCCTCATTAGGAGATAATAGAATGAGTTGCCCAGTCATAAAAATAGAGACACAAACAATACCCACGCATTGAGTTAAGAAGATCCAGCGTTCAACATCCTAAACTGGAAACGATGTATTAAAAATACATGTGCGCCAGCCTAATAGATGAGGAAGGGGTGCGAGGCTGGTCAACAGATAGAATCTGTTTACCCCTTAAGTCTTTGCCTAGGAGGCCTTTTACAAGACAGCAGCTGGATGCATGTAACATCTGCCCAAGATGAGTATTTTTATCGAGACACCATCTCTAGCCTTTACTCAACCAAGAGCCCCAAGGCAGGGGGTGTTTTAATTCGGAGTTAACTTCTCCTAGCCTTTGCCTAAAAAAACGTATCCCACAAGGCAGCAGGACATGGAAGTAGGAAGTAGAACCGTAAAACCCACAGCAACTTAAGGGCGATGGTGAACCTTTTGCAAAGCATAAGCCTAAGACACAAGTGCACATCTGAAAAAGAAAGAATCAGAGACAGAACACATCAATAAAAATATATTTTGATAAACTAAAATATAGTTTGTAAATTGAACATAGTTTTCACCATACAAAAAAAAACATAGTACAATATAATATACTATAAAAATTCCTTGAAAAATATAAAAAATCAAATAATTGATTGAAATAAAACGGTTTAGTAAATAAGTATATAATTTTTTTCTAATAAATTATTTGTAAGTATATAAAAAGCAAATAAATATGTTTAAAGAAAATATGATTTCAATCCAGTTTGCAAATCAAACATCTATCTTATACCCATGGCAATATTTGGATCATGGTCAACATAATTCTATGAAATATAACTCTGGTTGAGGTAAACGGTTTCCTGTAAAGAAATAATATTAAATCATAAATGTAACATTAAATTACAAGCATGTTTGAACGGAATTGTTAAAGCAATCCTTTAAAATAATGGCTTGTAAAATAAAAATTTTGTTAGATTTTTATTCATCTGCTTCACTGGTTAAATACCAAGTTAATTTAGCTTTCCATCAGTATCTTTATATTTTAAAGCTTATAGTTATATTTAAATTTAATATAATCAAACAAATCAAACAGTAGACAGACTCCAGAACTTATATTTTGGATTTTCTTCAAAAATAACATTAAAATAATATCAAAATAATAAAATTAAATAAATATCAAAATAATAAAATTAATCTTACTTTATTCTCTGGTAAAATTCAATATCACGATTTAAATTCTCATCTACAATCTCATATACAAAAGGTTACTGTAAAAGGGAATGAATATGAAAAACACAGAAACAGTAATACTCATTACACAAGAACTTTACTCTATTGAGTTTAAAAATATATAAAATATTGTAAAATAAAAATAACAAATATGTAAATAAAGATGCTTATTTTATTTAGCAATGTTATTCATCTTCTGAACTAAATTATTTAATGGCATTGAAAAACTTGATGTAGGCATCACTTTTTTCTTGGCTTGTTTGTTTTTTTGGTCGTCTGATGCACCACGCAAAAAACGCACAACCTCATATTGAAAATCTGATTCAGTTGCTGAAGTTGTTGCAGGATTTCTTTTTACAGCTCCTAAAAATTAATTTAAGACTTTTATTTAACTATCTAGCAGGAAAACAAAAAATATATTTTTTAACTTAATTTCAGACATATAGAATTTTTTTAAAAGCAATTTATTAACAAATTTTATTTATATATTTATTAATTTTTTATTTTTATATAGATAATAAATAAATTTTATTTATTTATCAACTATTCATTAACAAATAGATTAGTAATTACTAAATTAGACACAAGTAATTATTAAATTAGAGTAACAAGCCCATACAAAAAAAAATACTTTTAAGCAAGTGTAAGTCTTTGTTTTACAAAGTTACTTTCATTGTCATTTATGATAATACCAGACCAGTTAAGTTTACAGCAGAGGTTATTAGTGAATAACGCAAAGGACATTCTCTGGACAGCCTCCTTTAAAGTCTGGCCTCCTTTACTTGCCACAGCTATTATCTACAAAAAAAATAGAAAAAGCATCAGTAATATATATAGTGAAGAATATCTTTTAAAAAATTAAAAAAAAAATAGATATCAAATTAATTCCATTAATTATTGCATAACATTTATTAATAGGCTTTATGCCCTTTATTTCTGTTTATAAATGATCTAGCTGGTGTACCACAAATAAAAGCTGATATAGCAAACTTATATACTTTACCATTAATACTAATACCAGAATCAAATAAAGCAATACTTTCATTAACAAACATTTTTAGAAATTCATTACGGTCTTTTGGTGTAGACCTACTATAAAAAAGACTAATTATAAATGGGGTTTTATTGTGTTGAATATTGTTTATCCACATTTTTTATTAAACCTAATATTGGCCAAAATTGTCCAATGCTGCTTTTAAATAATGGTAAATCATCAATGTTGACTTGAATTGGTATACAATCCTTTTTCTTTAAAAAACTTAAATTATTACTTAAAATACCTTGTCTAATGCCAATATTTAATATCAATAGATTACTGTCAGAGTTCACTTCACAATATATATATATAATATATATTATTTGCACCTTAGAGAATAGCACTCTCAGTTGAAAGTTTTCGATCTGATATACTTTTTAAATACAATGATTGTACTTCTTCTGTTGAATGTGAAATATTGCTTGATTTAATGGTAAGATCTTTTAGGCAATATTCATAATATTCAAATTCAAATATAGATAAAGGTATAAAATCATGTAACTTTTAGTATTTATAAGCAATAATTATAGCTAGGTATATTTTATAATATAAAGACTTTATATTATAAAATATAATTTAATAAATAAAATAAATCGGACTTTATATTATAAAATATACAATATAGGTTATATATATTAAATCTACATCTATACTTTATTAAAGTATAGATGTAGATTTAATATATATAACCTATATTGTAAGACTTAAAAATAAAAAGACTAACTTGATTTTTTTTAATACTATTTATTTATTACTTACTGTTTTACATAGACTATGTACTACAGTATAAAATATAAAAATCAATCAATCTAAGTCTCATGGCTTACTTTTGGTGTTTTTACGACATCTTACCGTTATCCGGGAGCCAACTCGGGCATTGTGTTGGGGTAATTCCATGTCAAAACAACAAGTCGAAATAACCCACCATCTCAGAAATACTTGATTTTTGGCACAAATGCAGTTAATAATGTTGTTAGTAATAATCATAAATAATTTGGAGTCAATTTCATTTTTTTAAGAGTTATGGGTCTTTGAAGTTTAAGAATTTTAAAATTTTTTTATTCTCCGCTCTCTTAGCAACGTCTATAGCAACACTAAAATGTTAAAGTATACACAGTTACATTAACCATTCGTTCACAAAATTTAATAGGTATAGAAACTTTTGAATAAAGAAATCAAAAATCATTACTTAAAGTTATTAGATCTTATATTTGATTGAAAACTTTGCAATGCAAACCGGGTTTTTAACAATAATTTTTTAGTAAACATGTCTAGTTTAAGACTAATTGCAGAAAAGGTATTGATCTATTCACTTTAAATCTTTACAAATATAGTTTATATTTAAATGCCTGTAAGAGGCAAAAATTATTTCATTGTTTTTTGATGCACATATCTATTTTATTATTGTTTTATTTTTGCAATTTTATTTTTGCATTTTTATTTACCATTTTGGTTATAATCTCCATTTAAAGATTATAACTAAAATAATTTCTCACAAAAAAAATAATGATTTCTCGCATAAGTGTTATACTTAAATGTTAGAACCAGTTGCTCCGTTTAATTAATTGAACAAGAAACCCAGAAATTCATTTTTATTTTAAACTAAATAAGTCTAATCATATGATTACAGTTATTTAGTTTAAAATAAAAATGAATTTCTGATTTCTTCTTGTATTAATTAAATGGAGCAATTGATTCTGACATTTGAATTTTGATTATAATACTCATGCGAGAATTTATTATTTATTTAATAATAGTTTTAGAAAAATAAAATATTTAAATAAAATATTTTTATAATGGATGGAACATCACAATGCTCAGTTGGATTGATTTTAAAATCAAGTTGTCACAAGTTAACATTTACAAACCACATTGGAATAAACTTTTTTCAAGATTTAGCTCCAGATGAGCAAAATTTAGTTGCGCTAAGGTCTGGTGTTTCTTCTGTTTTGATTATTGACTTATGTTTTCATCATCAAAAGTTCTATCTTGAGAAGTTCCCTGTGTTTCAGAATAAATGCTGTGATCCACTGTTAGTTCACAAAAGACCGTGCAAAGGTTAGTAAAGCTTGTCATAAATTTTATAATAGTAAATTTGTCATAATTTTAAGTTCTTTATTTTTGTTAATAGTAGGCACATTTTACTTTATTAAGTTATATTTTTTAATTTAGCATCTCTCAGAAAAGTCACGTTAAGAACCATAGCTTTAAACAACAGGATCAATATTGTACCTGGTCAAAAAATTTGCACAAATTGCTTAGTCAGATTAAAATCTTCCACTGAAATTAATACTGATAACATTAATATTGCTGATGATTACACAAATGAAAGTATAAATAAAGAAAACATATTTAGTGTTCAACAAGAAGCTGATATAAATAAAAACAGACAAGAACTTTCTGATTGTCTCAGTATAATTGGTGTGTCACCAGTCAAGCTTCACGGAAAGCCATTTGCAAATCGTATGAGTATTGGGAAAAAAAAAATTAAAACTATTGCAAAAGTTTTCAAAGAAAAGTTATCAAGTTCTTTAAAAATTCCATTGACAGAAGTTGAAGTTTTTGATAATGAATATGTTCTTGATTTAAAAAAAAAAGTTGTTCAGTTCGAAAAAATGTTAGTTTTGATCAAAGATAAACTTGAAAAATGCAGTTCATTTAGGGACAAAATTCAAGTATTGACTTTGTGCCCACAAGAATGGTCAATTAAAGCAGCTAGTGAGTATTTTAGTGTTTCAAATTATCTAATAATAAAATCTAGATCTTTAGCAAAGAAGGAAGGAGTTCTTGCAGTTCCACAAACTAAGCGAGGTAAAATGCTCCCTGATCAAATAAATACTTTAGTGAAAATTTTTTATGAAAATGATGAAAACTCTCGCCAGATGCCTGGTCAAAAGGATTTTGTAAGTGTTAGTTGGAAAGTCCATATGCAAAAGCGACTACTTTTGTCAAGCTTAAAAGAGTTATTTGTCTCATTTAAAATTCTATATCCACATGTAAAGTTAGGTTTTTCCAAGTTTTGTGTTTTAAGACCTAAATGGTGTGTTTTGCCAAACTCATCAGGAACCCATTCTGTGTGCGTTTGTATCTACCATCAAAACATGAAGTTAATTCTCCTACCCATTAAAATTGATTACCACCAACTATATAAATTTATTGTTTGTGATATGCAAAACAAAGAATGCATGTTACATCGATGTACACAATGTCCGAAAAATACATCTAAATTAGAAGAAAAGCTATTCAAACTAATAGGGCAGTTTGAGGAAGAAGATACTATCGAATTTAACCAATGGATTACTACTGATAGATCAGATTTAGTTATACAGCTTGTAACCATACCAGATTATGTAAATATGGTGATGGAAAAACTAGTCAAGCTAACAACGCATTCATATATTTCTAAATGCCAATCTAAATATTTTAAAAATCTTAAAGAAGAACTGCCATCAGGTAGCGCAATAATTCTAGGAGATTTTGCAGAAAACTATAGTTTTGTTGTGCAGGATGAAGTACAAGGTTTCCATTGGAATAATCTTCAATGCACACTTCATCCAGTGGTTGTGTATTATAAAGAAAATCAAGTGTTGCATTCCACTTCATATTGCATTATATCAGATGATAACACTCATGATGTACCAATGGTTTATGAGGTACAAAAATCAATTATCAATAATCTGAAGCAAAAAATACCCAGCATTGTAAACGTGGTCTACTTTTCTGATGGCTGTTCATCTCAATATAAAAACTGCAAAAATATATTTAACCTATGTCAGCATAAATCAGACTTTGGAATAGATGCAAAATGGGTTTTCTTTGCAACCAGCCATGGAAAGCAACCTTGTGATGGTATAGGAGGAACAGTTAAACGGCTTGTAGCTAATGCTAGTTTGCAGAGAATTTCTACAAATCAAATATTAAACTCACGTGATATGTTTACATATTGCACTAACAACATCAAAGGTATAAACTTTATTTTTATTTCAAGTGAAAGTTTGATAGAAACAAGATTATTACAATCTGAACGATTTAAAAATGTAAAAACAATACCAGGAACAAGAGACTTTCATGAATTTATTCCTGTATGTCATAATGAAGTTAAGATGAAATACTGCAGTGATGACACTATCCCTATCTTGACCTACAAGTTTAAAAATTGCGAGATGCAAAGTGATGTGCAAAGTTGACATGGAATTTTAATTTATGCACCAACATGGCCTTGAATCTTAAAGACATTTTCTTGCTTCCTTTTATCAATTATTACTTCGAATCGACAGTTTGCTTATGTCTATGATATGTATATGACAATATTTTGCATTTATTAAAAAATATTACATAATTTTGTTTTGTTTTACAGTCCAAAGAAAAACAAAGGAATATTTGAAGTTCAATAATTTGTATAAAAATTTATCAATTCATAAAAGCACAAACAATTCAAAGAGTTAATGCGTTTTGATATTTAAAGTTTATTTATGGACATGTCATGGATATTGCAGTTTTATACCTAAGTGAAAATGCCTCTTATTTTTTGACTAGCTTTGAGTAAAAACACCTGTTTTTAGTATTTAAATATTTTTAATTGAGTTTATTAAATATGCATATTGTAGTTTTACACATAAGTAAGAATTCTTACTTTCTGGTTGTGCCTAAACATAAGTACCAATCAAGCTTCTGTCTCAATCTCAATATACTTTCAATCAAAAATAAAAATTAAATTGTTTAGATTAGTAAGTCAAAAAACAGCTCAGTTTTTTGTTTTTTTTTTAGATGTTTATATATACTTTAAGATTATGAAGTTTGGAAATATATAGATCATAACCTTTTCTGTAATTCTTTTTATAGTAAGCATGTTTACTTTTCAATTTTATTAAAAACGCCGATTTACTCTTATTGACTTAATAATAAATAAATAAAAATATTATTTCTTGGTATAATTTTATAGTTTAGCATCTAATAATATGTGGAGAATTTCAAATTATAAAACAATATATTTAAGGAAACAACGTATGTATTAGCATTTACTTGTTACTAAGGACGTTGCTAGGGGAGCATCATGAGTAAAAATGTTACTAAGTTTTAAATTTTAAACGAGCATAACTTCTAAAATATTCCGATTTGTTTAAAACAACTTTGGGGAATTCTTTTTAGCCTAGTTAAGTATCTTTGTTGCAAAAATTAAGTCATTTAGAGATAGTGGGTTATTTTTTTGAATTTTTGTTGTTGTTTTGACACGGAATTACCCGTTGGCAAAACTAAAGCGTATCGTCCGAAGCTGGCATGCCTATTTAAAATCGTAATGGCAACGAGGTGTTTTATCGCTATTCGGCCGACGGCGGAAAGTCAACACAAATTAGCATGCCGGTCCGCATATTTTGAAATCCTATACAGGCTCAGAATAGCCAGAAATATGAGCAATCTGATTCGCTGATTTTGAAAGAGAGGCAAATGCGCTTTATTTAAAAATAAATTACAAATCTAGACAGATTTTGAAATAAATTTCATAGTAATGATGAACTAAGTTTATTAATACAAGTCTTGTGTTACTATCAACATCTATTTGTAAGAAAATCAATTTGTAACAAAATCTATTTGTAACAGAGAATTTTCACTCGTAAAAATCTCAAAGTTTCAATAAAGTTCATCTTGGTGATGGAGGTTTTATCTGTTGTTAATTTAAAGAAATAGAGAAAAGTGTAATTTGAAAAGATCTTGTGCTGATTCTTATAATTATTATTATCCTTGTTGAGTTTAGTTATGTTTATACTAAAACTAACCTGTTTATATATTTTAGTTTACATATTATTATATGAAGAATAAAGCCTTCTATGTTGGCTTAGAATTAATTATAGACTATTTAATTTACTACACTACAGATCTATAAATTTATTTCTCGCAAAATATGTTCTTGGCCTTAAAGCATACTCAAATACAAAGTTTATATACAGTTGTACAAGACTACTTGTGAAGTACTTTTGCATATGAAGATTATATGCAGTTTTACCAGACTACTGATGAAGAACTTTATTTATAAATTGATTTATACGTTAATTATAAAGAGTTGAACATTAGAGTTTTTAAATAAAGAAAATTTGTACTGATT